ATTAAACGCTGTCTTTTTTTTTTTCTTGTCTTCCCCCCCCCCCCCCCCCCCCCCCTTTCTCTCCTTCTATTCACCTTTCTGTGTATTAAACTTCTGTCCTCACTTATTTTATCTACACCTGTTTTTTAACTTTAAAAGTAAAAATACGCCTTTGACAAGCAGCTCTCGATTTTATATAAACCCCTTTCACATAACTAACACACTTCCTTTTTTTTCTCACTCACATACTTAAGCACTCAGCCACTTGCACATACCAACCCTCAGGGGACTATTGAGGACCCAAACAGAAAATGGCCTCCCACTGGGAGAGCGAGTGAGTTCTGAGATGCTCACTGAAGTGCAATGAGGTGCACCAATATAGTTTGGCACCTGATCTGTTGTCAGCTTTTGTGCCTGTCCTCCCCAGAGATGTCCTGCCCTCCTAGAGCTAAATATCTGATCTGAGAGCGGGCCACATACTTAGCCCTGAGGGACACCGTGCAGTCTGCCTGCCTTGTTTAGTGAAGTGGCGCTGGTTTTCCCCTCATATTCTCCCAGACTGAATTCAGTAGCCCCACCATGGCTCCCTAGGGCCCTACTACTGTACGAGAGCTATTTCCGGCAGTAAAAGGTGCCGTCCACGACCTGTTGAGCTCCTCATGCACCTCCGGGATGAAAGGCACCGAGGCGGGGCGCGGACCACCCCGAGAACCAATCGTGCAACCTTGAGGGCTCGGGACACAGTGAAAGTCTTCACTCGAGCCCTACCCCTACGGCGGCCCGGGAAAGCATAGCCATTATTTCTGGATCCGATCCAGGCATTGCTACGGTCCCGGAGGAGAGCAGCGCAGCCGAATCTTCCTCTCCAGAAAGCTCTGGCTCCCCCTCCGATGCCCCGGAAGAAACAGGTGGTACCCCCCGGAAGGGTCCAGCCTGCTCTTCCTGAAAGCTCCGCTGGTTTCGAAGTGCCGGCGGCAGCGCCGTCCACCAACACGAAGAGCTCTCCAAGAGCGCGCTGAACTCGTTCAGTCTTTTCTCTCAGTAGAGTAGTCAGGAGCAGAACGATGTGATCGCTCGGCTCCGAAGCGAAAAGCTGAATATGCGCTGCACCTGCTGCCTACTTATACTCACGCTGTGATCAGCAGCAGCTGGATGCAATAATCGCATGCCAATTTGCATTGGCTCGTTTAGTTTACACTCGAAGTAGATTGGTCCCTCTAAGCGAGATCCCAATTTCGTCGGTCCTCCGACGTGACGTCGAGAGTGACCGACTGAAAGGGAACACTCCAGTTAGCACGCTCCACATCTGCACTAATAGTTTAGACTATTGCTTAATTTATGAATGTATTTTTAGACTTGACACAACAGAATGTGCAGGTGTATGCAGTTTACTGAAAGATTAAACCGCATTCTTATTAAATAAAAACAAATTTGTAATTGTCTGCCTCATTTTAAAGCTAATGTTTTTGCTTGCTTGAAATATGTTTTCAAGTAACCCTTTTTTTTCAGTAGAATACTGGAAGTAAATTAAGTCAGATTTAATTTCACTAAAAAGATTTTTAATTATTCATTGCATATTTTGCAAAAGAACTAAAGCTTAATTTCCTTGTCTGGGGATGTCTTTACTTTTCCCATCCTTGTCCAGTTCCCATTTACCTGTCAACCAAAATGACTGTATTACGGGATATTCCATTGTTACTCAAATGATGCTAGCTTTGCAAACTCAAAAATTGAGTGACATACAATCCCTTCTCATTTAAGCAGAAGTGTTGAGTAACAACCATCCATTTCTGAAGGATTAATTTTTTTATATTTAGTACATTAATGATGTATAGCATTTTTGACTGATTTTTCACCTGAGAAATTGGGGAAAATTGGGAAAAAAACCTTTCAATGCTTATGAATCTTCATATTGTTCTCTTTATGGTCTTCTATTAATAATTTTCATGAGGCATTGACTGTGATAAGTTCTGAGAAACTGTTCAGAAGGAAGAATCTATGTTCTCCTTGCTTTACTTCATTCAGAATGTTTTGGTGTCTGTCCCTGTAGGCAGAGGGAGAAAACGAGGTGAATAATGAGCTGGCCAATCGGATATCTCTATTTTATGCTGATGCCACACCCATGCTAAAGACATTAAGTGATGGCACAACAAAATTTGTATCTGAGGTAAATAAAAACATTTCAAATCAGTTCTCAGTGACATTTTCATAACTTATAAATAAATAAATAATTTTCCGCTTTTGCCCAACAGAATAAAAACTTGCCCATTGAAAACACAACAGATGTATTAAGCACCATGGCGAGCGTGTGCAAAGTTATGTTGGAAACCCCGTAAGTCTGCCATTTTCTCATTTGTCTGATGACACCATAAAATTTGCGGTGTATTAAACAAGAACAATGTACTAGAAATTGGTAGGCAAATATAAAACAAAAAATGTAAAAGAATTAGCTTATTCTGTAATTTTGTTTGTATACAGAGAGTATCGCAGCCGCTTCAGCAGTGAGGAGACTGTTTCCTTCTGTCTGCGTGTCATGGTGGGGGTTATCATCCTCTACGACTACGTCCATCCCGTCGGTGCATTCGCGAAGTCCTCCAAAATAGACGTGAGTGAAACTATCATCTCCCGTTACTGCAAACCCATCTCTGAAGTTTTTTCCCCTCCTCCCACTGACTTATAATCATAGTGCTTAGAAAACATGGTGATGGCTCTCTCACAGTATCATGACTCATGAATTTGAGTGCTGTCATTACTCTGCCACTCTAACCATGGTTGCTTTTTTCCCCAAACAGATGAAAGGCTGCATTAAAGTGCTCAGAGATCAGCCACCAAACAGTGTGGAAGGTCTTCTAAATGCTCTCAGGTACCTTATTCAACAAGCCATCATTTAGAGTCTCATACAGTAAATCTCGTTATTTTACAGTGTTTTAAATACGAATCAGTTGGTATTTTCCAAAATTTACTTTGTCAATCCTGCTAGTTATTCTTTCTTTTTTTTTTTAAATCATCTTAAATTGTATTTTTTTATAATTAAAATTAATCCATTTAAATAAATAAAAAAATACAAATCTTTTTTTTTTTTCATGAATATTGTTATATAAAATCTTACCATATTAATATCATATCAGTCAACTGCACTTGTCCATGAAGACACATTTAGATTTTGTTCCTCATATTTTCTTTAGTGGTTTAATGTAATGAATATTCCATGACATATGCAAAGATTCTTTTCTTTTTCCTTTTTTTTTTTTTTAGCGCTGAATGTTTTTTTTGCAGCAGTGCTAAAGAAAGCTTGACATGATACTGCAAAATACTGCAGTAAATATAATTATTACTTAATGTCTTCTGTGCAGGTACACAACAAAACATCTTAATGATGAGTCAACCACTAAGACCATTAAAAGCATGCTGCAGTAGCAACTAAACTCTGGGACTCACACACCACTGGCCTCAAGCAATTGCTCAGGAGATGCACATACACTCTCTCTCCTGGACTAAAGCGATGCACAGAATGTTTTTCCTTTCCTTTTTTTTCTTTCTTTCTTTCTTTTTTTAATAAACCGGGAAAAAAATCAGACAAAAGCTTCTCAAATCTTTCCTTGTCTTTTTACAAAGCAGATGCTGCTGGCATTATGTGTGGTTTTCTGTGCCAAAATGGTTTTGCTGAAATCCCTTGTTTTTAATGTTCCTGAAAGACAGCCATGCTACTGATGGCAGCTATGACAGCATTGTTAGATTATATTTGTGGTAAATTTTAATTTAGCTTATTTCCCTATAAAGGGAGGGTGAGTGTTTTGACTTGAATATAAAATATCTATATATTATCTATATGATCTGGATACAATTATAAAAAAAGAGAGAAGTATATTATTTTTTTTTTTTATTAATATTTAATGTTACATCCACTGCATGGCAAAATGATTACATGTCTTCTATTTAAAAGAAAACGGTTTCAAATTCATTGGTCTGCTTGATTTTGTGTAAAGGAAAAGGTGTTTAAATTATGTTTTGAAATGGTACTTGGAGATTAAAATTTATTTTTTTAAGGTAAATTTAAAAAAAAAATTTTTTTTTTATAGTTCTTGATTTATGTTTTTTTTCTGTAGGTGTTATAATTTTCTGATTTTGTTCTTTTTTTGATCTGAAAACTAGCTTTCAAAAACTGTGATAGTTTGTAATCTGTGTCAGTTGTGATGACAACATGATTTTAAGATGAAATAAAATGCTTTCATTTTTATAATGAAATGTTTACTTTTTTTAAATGCAGTGTTACTAAGGTGTATGCAAATGAGCAGTACATTTCTGGTATTATGCAAAACAGCAGTGGCATTATGCGTGATGCTTGAATTTTGAAATTCTGGTAAACACAATTGCAGATTGCACAAGATTGTCTGAATCAACCAATCACAATTTCATTTTTATATCTTGAAATATTAATAAATAAAATCAGGATGGTTTATGTAAGATGCCACAATATCAGATTTCAGTGGAAAAAAGATTAATTATGGTTATGCAAATGGTTGTGAATGTACCTAGATTTTGTAATAGATCAAAAGAATTTCTGCATCACTTCACCCAGTCAGATTGGAACTGATCTGCTAATTTATTGAGTGATGTATGTTTGTCTAAAAGATCTGTTAATGTGATGTCCATTGAAGATATGCTCTGTTCTATCTTATCTGTTCTAATTGGCAGGAATCACCTGCCAGTTTCAACACGCTTGCAATCAAGGATTCACAGGCTGTGAGAAGGGTGTGGCCAAGTAATTCTGCAGTAAGGACATGAATGAAGGTCAGGGAGGATGGCGAAACGCACTGCAGGGCTCTCTGCATCCTGTCAGTGAAACTCTTGGGGTTGTGGAGTGTGAGAGAGAGTGAGTTTTAGGGTGTGTCCTGTATCCATGCGGCACTGCTGGATTAAGGGACCAAGAGTGCAGATGTTAAAAAAAGAGTTCAGGAAAGCAGGTCGTGTAATGGCTGGGTCTGAAATGCTGTAGGCAACAAATGATGAACATGTACTAATTTTGGTTGGTGTGTGAATTTTGGGTGGCAATGAAATGTGTCAGAATACAGTGTGTCAATTATAGTGAATACTGAATAAAAATAATTATTTTATTTTATTAAGTTCATTAATGCTTGAAAAACATTTGATTTATGAAATTGGGACCACATAATGCATTTACATGACAATGACTAAAACATTTTAGACTTGTATTTTACAGTATATCACTGATCTCAACTTGAGCACTCTTGATAATAGGCGAGTGCCAGTTTTCCATATCCAAAATCCATCTTTAGCATTGGAGGAATAACCAGGAATATAAGCAGTTTTTCGATGGCAAGAATGGCTTCTGTGAGTATCCTTTATAAAACTTTTCAGGGGTAGCCAATCCTGCTTGTATACGGGCAATGTATCATAGTAGTCAGTCTGCTACATAATGGCTTTTGTTTGTCTATTTAAGCTATTAGAAAGAATTGGAAATATAGAGGTAAGTGAGATTAGCACTGTGCAATTTAACTTAATAGATAAACAAATGTTCAGATAATCATTTAAGTTAAGTTCCTGTTACAGAGTCATTATTCAGTTGAATAGCTTTGCTAAGGTTTCAGGAGGAATATACTGTAGTTTATCCTTCTGGTGGCTGTTCCTGTAAACAGTATTACAATTTGTTATCAGTAGACTTCAGCATAGCTGTTAATGTTGTGAACTGTCTTCAAACAGGCCTGTCTTCTCAAAGCAGATGTATGGACCTCTTTATTCATATTTCACCTAAGGCTGGACAATAATTTAATATCAATATGTATCGCGATATAATTTTTTTCAATAACGGTGATATGATTTTTAAACACATTTCCGATATTTCGTTATACATTACCTGTGTTACCCATAAATTTATTTATTTGTGGCGTTTGACTTGAACATGAGCACTGCACGTTTCAAGATCAAAACACGTCGCGGGTGTTTTATATGAATGTATCTCTGAAGGGAAAGGACTGTCTTCAGAAAAGTTACGATGGCATTTTCATTTGATCTGATAAAGAAGCGTTCATGAGCGGAGCTGATTTGATTACAGTCGTTACTGGAGAAACCGCTAGTTCTACTGCTCTCAAAGCGCCTCCTGCTGGCAGAGAATCAGTTTGCATTTTCAATAATAAGCCGTCTCCAGCAACGTTTTTGTTGTTGCTCTTTTTTTTCTGCTGCAACTCAGAGCCCTTTTCATACTCTTTATACTGGCTAAAGCACATTTGTTTCAATCTATAAGAATAATCAGCCTACTCTACCAGTCAAAAGTTTTTGAACTGTAAGATTTTTTATGTTTTTTCTTTTTTTTTCTTTTTTTAGAATTCTCTTCTGCTCACATTTTTTAAATATTTGTACTATTTTTAAGTAACTACTTTCTATTTGAATATATTTTAAAATGTAATTTATTCCTGTGATCAAAGCTGAATTTTCAGCATCATTACGCCAGTCTTCAGTGTCACATGATCCAGAAATCATTCTAATATGCCGATTTGCTGATTATCAATATTTAAAACAGTCAAGTACATTTTTTTCAGGATTATTTGATGAATAGAAACATCCAAAGAACAGCATTTATCTGAAATAAAAAGCTTTTGTAACATTATACATTATTCCATTCAAAAGCTCAGAGTCAGTATGATTTCTTTTATTTATTTTTTTTTGGAAAGAAATTATAGAAATTAATACTTTTATTTAGCAAGGATGCTTTAAATTGATCAAAAGTGATGATAAAGGCATTATGCTAATATTTCCACATAGTGATGTAGATATGTGGGGGCGTGTTAGAACGAGCCGTTTTAGGGGGGCGTGGCAAAGTCTTAACTTTGATAAAGAATATCTCTTTGGTTTTGAGACTTTAGTCTTTGCAACTTCAGGGATCTTATCTATGCACAATCAGCTTGTAACACTCCAAAGAGAAAGGAAAACTTGAAATCGCATCATATGACCCCTTTAATATTTCAGATAAATGCTGTTCTTCCGAACTTTCTATTCATCAAAGAAACCTGAAAAAAATCTATTCAGCTGTTTTCAACATAATAAAAAATGTTTTTTGAGCAGCAAAAAATCTGATTATTAGAATGATTTTAGAATTTTAGAATATTAGAATGATTTCTGAAGGATCATGTGACTGGAGTAATGATGCTAAAAATATAGCTTTGAAATCACAGGAATAAAATATATTTTAAAATAGAAAAAAGTTATTTTAAATAGTAAAAATATTTCAAAATGTTACTGTTTTTGCTGTATTTTGGATCAAATAAATGCAGGCTTGGTAAGCAGAAGAGAATTATTTAGAAACATTAAAAATCTTACTGGTCAAACACTTGTGACTGGTAGTGTATATAGTTAGTATATATCTGTTAGCCTATAGTTTGAAGTTAAAGATATTAATATCAATCGAGTCTGAGACGATTATTTGACAGTGATTTCACATTTCTTGTTTGTATGAAGGCTAAATACAAATAAAAGGTGAACATTAATTTATTAGTGCTGTTTTTTTTTCTAAAATATTATATGGTTTTATATGAGGTGTCATAGACTTGGCAAATACATTTTTCATAAGTTTGTATGCACAGACATCTGTTGTGGGCATTCTTGGCAGTTTTTACGAGGCTTTTTTAAATAGTGTTCATATCGATATCGGAATTATATCGTATCGACCGAATTTAAGGAATATATCGTGATATAAATTTTGGCCATATCATCCAGCCCTAATTTCACCTAAAGCCCATAGACTGTATAAAAACATGGACGTAGTGTCCGTGACGTAACCCGTAGACTTCCGACGAGCGTTTTGAAGCCTAAAGTAGGCGGAGCAAGCCGTCGCCATCTTGGCAAAATGGGCAAAGAGGTGGGAGCTGGCTGCTGAAACCACGCCCACGTCACTCACGTGCCCACGCCCTTAATTATACAGAATTTTAAGGCTTAATATAATTTAAACGGATGAGTTATCAAAGAAACCTGAAAAAAATCTATTCAGCTGTTTTCAACATAATAAAAAATGTTTTTTGAGCAGCAAAAAATCTGATTATTAGAATGATTTTAGAATTTTAGAATATTAGAATGATTTCTGAAGGATCATGTGACTGGAGTAATGATGCTAAAAATATAGCTTTGAAATCACAGGAATAAAATATATTTTAAAATAGAAAAAAGTTATTTTAAATAGTAAAAATATTTCAAAATGTTACTGTTTTTGCTGTATTTTGGATCAAATAAATGCAGGCTTGGTAAGCAGAAGAGAATTATTTAGAAACATTAAAAATCTTACTGGTCAAACACTTGTGACTGGTAGTGTATATAGTTAGTATATATCTGTTAGCCTATAGTTTGAAGTTAAAGATATTAATATCAATCGAGTCTGAGACGATTATTTGACAGTGATTTCACATTTCTTGTTTGTATGAAGGCTAAATACAAATAAAAGGTGAACATTAATTTATTAGTGCTGTTTTTTTTTCTAAAATATTATATGGTTTTATATGAGGTGTCATAGACTTGGCAAATACATTTTTCATAAGTTTGTA